AGCCGGGCCGGCCCTGATTCCCGGCTCTATTCATATATCATCTTTAAGATTGGCATGTCCTAGCATTTAATTCTAATTAATATAAATTTTGTTCGTAAATCCTACTCTTCTGATTTTATTTATAAAGCAAAGAGAAAATATTTTTTTACTCTTATATATAGAATACTGAGAGAAATTTTTCATATAGAGGTACAATTTTATCTTTTATTTATTATTGTGTTAATTTTGTTTACATAAGATATAATGTATATTTAATAGGAATAAAGTTAAAAAGTTAATAAATTTTAAATAAAAATTAATAAAATTTAAATTTATTTAATTTATGTGAAACATATTAAAAATAATTTATAAATAACATCAGACGAGTATTTGCTAACCAAGCTTCAGTGGGATTTCACATTAGGTATAGAATTCGGGTCTGTTTGGGTAGCACCCCAAACCATGGTTTGGGGAATAATCTACCCAAACACCCCCTCTTAAAACCAAAACCATGGTTTTGGGTCAAAACCATGGTTTTGGAAAAAAACAAAATTTTTTTGCTTTTGGAGAAAGAAGGGAGAGTGTGAGGACCTATATGATATATATCTTGTTATTTTTTTTATAAACATATTTTTTTATAAATATATTTAATCTTATATTTTATAAATATATATACACATTAATTATTTATTAATTATATTATCTTATGTATTATTAATTATGTTGGTAAAAAACATATTATTAACAATTTTATTCCTTCAAATTAAAATATATCATAAAATCTATTTTTTCTGTAATTATCATATTAACTTATGTCTTTTTTTTAGTAATTTGTATATATAAAAAGTGCTTCTGATAACAACTATCCAAACACTCTCACTTCTCAGAATCACTTTTTTACAAAATCTATTCTTCACAGAATCTATTTTCCCCAGAATCTATTCTCCAAAATCACTTTTCCAAACCACGGTTTGGTTTCATCCAAACACACCCTCTCCATCTAGATCCACACCTAAGGCAAAGTTGCTCCCACTTGCGTTCTCCATCGGTTTTCTCACCCGCCGCCCAACCTCTAGCCATTTGTATTTATTTTTTAAGTACTTAGAAATCTTTTTAATTTTAAATCTTATAATCCACGTTCTGTCGGGTTAACAATTTTTTTTAATAGAAAAAGTCAAATCAGTCTACCATGTCATTTGCCTTTGTGGAAGTGTTTTAAAAAGATTGCGCATCTGTCATGATTTTTTAACAGACATTTGGGCACAACTAAGTATGAGTAAAATTGCATCATAAATAATATTACATCTGTTTTTTAATATAAGACTTAGTTAAATAATTTAAAAATATTAAGAATGCTAAATAAATAAATTAATTAGAATATATATTACATGAACTACTTACATGTATCATTATATTATATATAAATTTATAAGTAAAAAAGTAAAATACTATAAAATAATTTTTTATTTTCTTTAATCTTTTCAAATTAGTTAATTGAATCTTATATTAAGTATAAAGAAAGTATTATGATGCTATTTTACCCTTCAATTTTTCTAATGATGTGGGGTGGGGTGATGACATATAAATATATATATTTAGATATTAATTGCTGAGTTGTGTTTGAAATTTTCATTAACTTGACAAAAGTAAAACAATGAAATGGTCGTAAGCATCATAACAAGCTCTTGATTTGCTTGGATTTGATTTCAGTTCCTTGGCATGAGATCTTTATTTATTTTGATATTTTTTTATTATAAGTTGACCTATAATTTAATTTTTCACTTGCTTGCGGAAATTGACATCTTTAGGTGTGGCATTCACATGGCCGACCCTAAAATAAGAGACCTTTTGTGAATAAATTAAGAGTCCTCTGTTTGGACTTTGGAGCAAAATTCATTTTCATTTAAGTCCACCTCTATATATATTAATTAAATTTCTAATAAGCTATACTCTTTGTAATGTATTAACAATGTAATTTGATCATTCTTAATAATAAACCTCATAAAATGATTAAATATTATGAAGATATTATATCATTCATTTTTTGTTTACGTTTATTTCCATCTTAAGTTTTAGATTAACTCTTTGACAAAATTTCAATTAAATAAATGTATACAATATTTTAACAACCAAATTTAACTAAAATTTAAGGAAATAATTGTATAAAATATTTTAGGAACCAACTTTTCAATTTTAAATACAACCTCAGTCCTAAGAACATTTTTGGGAAAAAAATAATAATTATAACATGATAGATTTTCAAATAGTCAACTTAGGAATAGCTAGGTTTGAGAATTTATTAATATTAATATTAATTTTTTAAAATAAATATATATATGATTTGTCAATCATAAATTATTATAATCACAGTTTCTTCCACATAAAAAAAATTTAAATTGATCATAGGAACAAATAAATAATCTAGACTTAATCTAGTTTGATTGGGCCTAGTTTTCGAGTCTTGAGCCTAGAATTTAGTGAAGAATTTTGATTTTGGGCTTGGATTTTTTATAACAAAAATGCAGCCCATATCAATTAACTTGTTAGTCAACCACCTTTTAGGAAAAAAATAAATATCTATACTATAATTAAAAAAAAAGATAAAATAGTACATTTATATTGAAAATTTAATGAAGTGACTTATAAATATGACTAAAAAGACTTTCTCTCTCAACCTTATAAATAGAGTTAGAGGATTATATGTTAGAGAATCAATGGCAAAACCAAAATACATACTAGAGAATTATTCACTCTGCTCCTAATTTGATCATTCTTAATAATAAACCTCATAAAATGATTAAATATTATGAAGATATTATATCATTCATTTTTTGTTTACGTTTATTTCCATCTTAAGTTTTAGATTAACCCTTGGACAAAATTTCAATTAAATAAATGTATACAATATTTTAACAACCAAATTTAACTAAAATTTAAGGAAATAATTGTATAAAATATTTTAGCAACCAACTTTTCAATTTTAGATATAACCTCAGTCCTAAGAACATTTTTGGAAAAAAAAAAATTATAACATGATAGATTTTCAAATAATCAACTTAGGGATAGCTAGGTTTGAGAATTTATTAATATTAATATTAATTTTCTTAAAATAAATATATATATGATTTTTCAATCATAAATTATTATAATCACGGTTTCTTCCACATAAAGAAATTTAAATCGATCATAGGAACAAATAAATAATCCATACTTAATCTAGTTGCACTGGGCCTAGTTTTCGAGCCCCAAGCCCACAATTTAGTGAAGAATTTTGATTTTAGGCTTGGACTTTTTATAACAAAAATGCGGCCCATATCAATTAACTTGTTAGTCAACCATCTTTTAAGGGGAAAAAAATAAATATCTACACTAAAAAATAACAAAATAGTACATTTATATTGAAAATTCAATAAAGTGACTTATAAACATGAGTAAAAAACCCTTCTCTCTCAACCTTATAAATAGAGTTAGAGGATTATATGTTAGAGAATCAATGGCAAAACCAAAATACATACCAGAGAATTACTCACTCTGCTCCTTATTATGAGTTTTAAATAACCAATTGAAAGATAATAAATAATTAGTTAAAATTATTTTAAAATAATAAATAAATTAAAAATATATTTTATTCTTAAATATGCTCTTATAATAAATAAGAAAAAAGATGAAAGAGAATATGTGGGGAAATATGAAATAGAAAAATAATTAAGGATAACATTAAAAAAAATATCAAATGTTAAGACAAACCCTAAATTGAAGCTTATAAAATAGATCACACTTCTTTATAAATTTGAAACTTATAAATAGAAGCCAGTGAGTATTAGATAACTGCAAATAATCCCATGTTATGAGGGTTCAGTTTCAAGATTAGAACTGATCAAATCAAAAATTAAATAGTTCATATTTAATCAAATTTTTTTTGATAATTTAATATTTTAATATATGTAAAGTCTAAAACAAAAATTATCTCTTAGCTGTCAGATTTTAAGAATTATTTTCTTACTTAAAAACCATCCATTAACAATTTTAAATGTAGACCTGCAAAGATTATCATAATATTGGTCATAAAATTGGTTCCTAGTACAAGCCATTTTGATAAAAGTTGTGGGCGGGTATTTGAGTCATCAAAAGGCCAATAACTTGGCTCTCGAATTATCTTTTTTTTTTTTTAAAGTCTATTTTTCTTTTACCTTTTACCTTTTTGTTTTCAATAAGCACCATCCCAAGTTGTGGATTTTCTTGCTTTAGTAAATTTACTTTCTAGGAACAAGTCATACATCACCAGAACTAGAGTAACACGTTCTAAACTTTATTAAATGATAAAATGTTTGCCTATTGCTTTCATATCTCTCTACCTTAGCATGCCATTATTCGCAAACTAATCCCTCATGCTCTCTAAAATTGGCTCTCCAAACAACACCTTGATAGGAGTCATTCCCATGACCTTGACTACTTCTAATTCACCACAAGTCCTGTGAGTGTTTCAGCTAAACTTCAATGATTTTATGCACATGTAGAAATTAAGTTATATACATGTATGTGTATATATATAATGATGAAGTGTAAGCTCATAGTCATTAATGAGCGGGAGCATATCAAAATTCTACTGATCACTCTATTCCACTTAACAGTTTTAGGCAATAGTGCTGCTGGAGCTATTATTGCTCTAAATGTTTATTAATAGAACAGGAGATAAAAAGATTATTTCTTTGATGTTCTTGGTAATAAGTTGAATAATGAAAAAGATGCTATATATAATTATTGATGATTTATGTGATAGCCATAATTGGTTTACTAATATTTTGCCTTTTTATTGGCAGTTGATCTGAGGAGGACCTTGAAACTCACTTTGGTCAACTTGCAAAGTTTTAAGTTGCAAAAGATAAGTCTAGTAACAAAAACGTTCTGGGTAGACCTGGGTTTGGTGAGGTTGCTTCTATGTATACATTTCTTATAATTCAATTTTGATACCTTATTATTTAAACAGAATAAGACAAATATCAACTGTAACAAATTAAACATATGGCAGATTTCAAATCTAGACTTTGAAGCAAGTCTTTAAAAGTTTCATCTGAGATACAAAGCAAACACTGAGCCAAATCTCCAAGCTTTTTACTGTATCATTGGCATATCTTCATTTGCTAAATGTTGGATTGAGATATTATTGAAAGGAATTGCTAATGGAAGGTTGGAAGATAAAAGCCCTTGAGACACCTGTTGCATTGATGGTCGAGATTTGGGAGATGGGTTCAAGCATGCTAATGCTATTGTGACCAAAAGAGTTATATCTCCTGCATCTTTCTGTGATGGTAAAGGGAGACGTGAGTCTAAAATATCCTTTAGCAAAATGCTCTCTGTACAGGTCCTTGACAAAGATAATATCAAATCTCCAGGATGTCTTCCCATAATTGTTTCTAATGTCACCACCCCGAAACTATAAACATCACATTTTTCAGTAACAACTAAGGTGTATGCAAGCTCTGCAATGGGCCAAAAATTAAATAATTATGTATTTATCCTAAGACAAGTAATATACTATAGAAATAAAATACAACATAGAAAGAATAATAATAGAGAATTAGAAAAGCTCACCTGGAGCAACATAACCATAAGTACCAACTAATATAGTCTGATTAGAGGTATCTGGATCAATGATCCTAGCTGTGCCAAAGTCTGATAAAAAAGCTTCCATCTTTGAGTTCAACAATATATTATTGCTTGTTATGTCTCGGTGGATAATTGGAGGAGCACAGTGATGATGCATATACAACAAAGCATTTGTTATTCCTTTAATGGCATTCACTCTCTTACTCCAATTCAACTCTTTAGCTTCATCATCATAATTCAACACATAAAAAAGGCTTCCTTTTTCCATGTATTCATAGATGAGAAACATACATTGATTATGCAAACAAAAACCATGAAGCTTTACAATATTACGATGTCGAATTTCACTCAACATCTTCACTTCATTGTGAAAACTCTTGGCCAAAACTGTGTTTCCATATTCTCTTCTATGGAGTTTTTTCAATGCTACAATTTTGCCACTTGGAAGTTGTGCCCTATAAACACTTCCATAAGCACCGGTTCCGATACAATATTTGATGTCAAAGTCCTCTGTTGCTTCAATGATGTCTTCATATGCCATTTTTCCATCATAATTCCATATGGAAAACAAATCCCCATTTTTTGCTTTTCTTGCCTTACTTATGGATTTCTTGTGCTTTTTGAATGATTCAAATAAGACGAAACCCACAACAAATATGATGACAAGAAAAATTGTCAAAGGAATAATGATTTTCAGCAAAGACTTTGAGCCTTTTTGTATCTTCTTTGAGCCTTTATGTATCTTCTCTGGCCCAAGTAATTCTCTATTACCATTTAAAATGTCATGAGGAAAAGAGCTATAAACTTCACTTGGAACATAGCTGCTAAGAAGATTGTATGACAAGTTGATGTATTGTAGCCTACCAAATTCTCTAGGTATGCTACCAGAGATACTATTATAGCTCAAATCAATGCTACATGATGGTAGGTCACTGCATATACTAGATGGTAATGTTCTATTAAATTTGTTGTGACTAAAGTTACCATCAACAAGTAAGTAATTGTTCCAAATGTCCGGTACATTTCCACTCAAATTATTTCGGGAGACATCTACATGAAAGCGATCATTTAAAGTTCCTAATTGTTCTTGAATGCCACCACTTAATTGATTTTGAGAAACATCAAAATGTTGTAAATCTCTCAAATGGAAAATCGAAGGGATACCACCTGTAGTGAATAAATTGGAGTGTAAATATAAGCTGTGGGGATTTGTCATAAATCCTGAAGTTTAAAGAATGATTCCAACTATTTTTTTGTTTCTACTCAAATCTAGTGATTTGAAATAAAGTTGGGAAGGGTGGAAGGTAGAATATCTGAAAGGTTGTTGCAAGACAAGTCCAAATGATTGAGATTTTGAAGGCCTCCTATATGAGTTGGAATGACATCTGTTACCATTCCATGAAAATTCAAATGTAATATTTTTTATATTATATGAGTTGGGAAAGGTGGAAGGTATGACACTTGTAAGGTTGTTGCAAGACAAGTCCAAATAATTGAAATTTTGAAGACCTCCTATATGAGTTGAAATGATACCTGTCACCATTCTATGAAAATTCAATATTTATTTATAATTTAAATGACTTATTTGGGTAGAGAAAAATTGTTATTTGAAGTAAGAATTTTTGGGTGGTAAATATACGTATATATATTAATAATAATAAATCTTATGTAATTTAAGTTATTTATTTGTATGTATATTAAATTATATCTACATTATTTGTAGTTTATATTGTATTTTGGGGTCTGTAATTTGTGTTTTTCTTTCTCAAGCTGTGAGTTAAGCTTGGAGTAGAGGTAACCAGGGTTAATTTGTTTTAAATACATGCTTTGAATTGTAAGGTGTTTACTATGTTTTTATTTTCTCAAATAAATTTGTAAAAGTATGTCAATGAATAAAGTATGTATTTTTTATATGACAAATTTTGATAAATTGGGAAGTATGTCAATTTAATTATGCTTGAATTGTATTTTATTAGGAATTATATTTTTTTGTGGTGCTAAATTTGATATACTAATATTATATCATTAAATAAAATGAAAATATGTTGTACTTTGTTTGAAACTGTATCATCTTACTTTGATGAACTATGAAATTTTTAATTTATATTGTGACTATGCATGGGGTTCATATGTGGATGTTAGGATTTTGTTATGTGAAAGATAATTGTTCTTGAAGGCCGCGTGGTATACCTATACTACTAATCATAGTGTTTGGTCTTTTTGTCAGACCCCTATAGTTCTTCCTTTTTCTTGGCCCGAAGTTGAGAAAGAGCTCTTAGGTAGATACCTCTTGCATCATGGTCCATTCTTGGGTTGTGTAGGTGCAAGAGGGGACCGTTGCTTGATGTGAGTAGGGTGATCTTTGGCTGGGTTACTTAGCACTTAAAGCCCAGAACCTTGTCAAGGAGTCATAAGGAAGAGTATGGTGATGGGAGGGCATATTTTATTTTATTGTTGCATATGTGTACTTTTGCATGAATTTTGTTGTGAATGGTGAGATATACTCCTTTCATGTGGTTGTATTTATTAAAGCATCATTTATTACTTAAATTATATTTAAGCACTATTTCATCAACTTGCTATCCTACTTGTATATGTGCCATATTAATACTTTGTTACTGAGACTTTATGTCTCATCCCGTTAGACATCAACGCTTTTTAGGAGAGCAGTCTAGTTTGACTCAGTGTGAAGAGAAGTAACTAGAGGCATCGGGGAGCATAGCCTAGTAGTCCTTTTTTGATTTGGGTATGTAATGTTATGTATATTGCCATCTTTGGGCCCATGATTTTGTTGATATACACTTTCTTTGGTTTGGTTGTTGGATGACTATATGTGATAGAGAGTTGTTAGAATGGTTGGAGGCCATAAAGCTCTACCGCATGTGTTACACTTATGTTTACGACTTGTGGATTGGGCTGGGCATCCTGTGTTTCTTGTGCCCTAAGCCTTGCTGGGGTGAATTTTTGTGTTGATCTTGTAGGCAGTTACTGTGCCTTGAGTCCTTGTTATACTTGCTGTTAAACTCATGAGCGTTTTATGTATATTGAGCCTTTAAGGATGTTTTTGGAATAAGACAAACTCTTCATAACTATAGTAATATTTTAATACTCTAACTCAATTCTTTTTCTGTCATGATTATCATAAAAAAATGGTTTTATAATTATGTATTAAGAAGAGGTCTTTTCAAATACAATATTTTCAAATTGAGTGAATTTGCAAGGTAAGAGTAGAAATAGAAGATACATAACTCACCAGTAAGATTATTACAAGACAAGTCCAGACAAGTGAGATTTTGAAGAGCTCCTATTTGGGATGGAATAATCCCTGTCAATAGAGGTATTAGGTTGTGTGGAGATAAATACAATATTTCAAAATTTAGTGAATTAGCAAGGTAATAGTAGAAATGCAAGATATATAACTTATCAGTAAGACAGTTATAAGACAAGTCTAGTTCAATCAGATTATGAAGAGATCCTATCTGTGATGGAATGATCCTTGTCAATAGAGGTATTGGGTTGTATAGGGGTAAATATAATATTTTCAAATTGAGTGAATTTACAAAGTAAGAGTAGAAATGAAAGATATATAACTCAGAAGCAAGATTGCCAGAAGATAAGTATAGATGAATCAGATTATGAAGAGATCCTATATGTGGTGGAATGATCCCTATCAATAGAGGTATTAGGTTGTGGGGAGATAAATACAATACTCCAAAAATTACTTAATTTGTAAGATAAGAGTAGAAATGAAAGATATATAACTCACCAGTAAGACTGTTAGAAGACAAGTCCAGATAAGCGAGATTTTGAAGAGCTCCTATTTGGGATGGAATAATCCCTGTCAATAGAGGTATCAGGTTATGTGGGGGTAAATATAATATTTCCAAATTAAGTGAATTTACAAGGTAAGAGTAGAAATGAAAAATATATAACTCATAAGTAAGATTGTTAGAAGATAAGTATAGATGAATCAGATTATGAAGAGATCCTATCTGTGGTGGAATGATCCATGTCAATAGAGGTATTAGGTTGTGGGGAGATAAATATAATATTTCAAAATTTACTTAATTTGCAAGGTAAGAGTAGCAATGGAAGATATATAACTCACCAGTAAGGCTGTTAGAAGACAAGTCCAGATAAGTGAGATTTTGATAATCTCCTATCTGGGATGGAATAATCCCTGTCAATAGAGGTATTAGGTTATAGGGAGATAACTACAATATTCCAAAATTTAGTGAATTTGCAAGGTAAGAGTAGAAATGGAAGATATATAACTCACCAGTAAGACTGTTCGAAGATAAGTCCAGATATATGAGATTTTTAAGAGCTCCTATTTGGGATGGAATAATCCCTGTCAATAGAGGTATTAGGTTGTGTAGGGGTAAATATAATATTTTCAAACTGAGTAAATGTACAAGGTAAGAGTAGAAATGAAAGATATATAACTCATAAGTAAGATTGTTAGAAGATAAGTATAGATGAATCAGATTATGAAGAGATCCTATCTGTGATGGAATGATCCATGTCGATAAAAGTATTAGGTTGTGTGGAGATAAATATAATATTTCCAAATTGAGTGAATTTATAAGATAAGAGTAGAAACGAAAGATATATAACTCATAAGTAAGATTGTTAGAAGGTAAGTATAGATGAATCAAATTATGAAGAGATCCTATCTGTAATGGAATGATCCCTGTCAATAAAAGTGTTAGATTGTGTGGAGATAAATATAAAATTTCAAAATTAAGTGAATTTGCAAGAGTGGAAATAGAAGATATATAACTCACCAGTAAGACTGTTAGAAGACAAGTCTAAATGAGTAAGATTTTGAATAGCCCCTATTTGTGATGGAATGATCCCTGTTAATAGAAATATTAGGTTGTGTAGTGGTAAATACAATGTTTTTGAATTAAGTGAATTTGGATGGTAAGAGTAGAAGTAGAAGATATACAACTCACCAGTAAGAGTGTTCAAAGATAAGTTTAGAAGGATAAGTTTACGAAGAGATCCTATCTGGCTTGGAATGGTATCTATCAAAGCCATTTCAAAAAGTGTGAGACGTTCTAGATTGGGAAATGCAGTGAAATTGAAATCTGCTAGACGGTAGCATTGTATAGTCATCTGTTGATAATTCATCTCAACAAGGCTTCCAAAATCATTGCAAGATATGCCTTCCCAGTGACAAGGGTCTGACATATTATGGGCACTGTTGATGAAATCCCACCATTTGGTCTGAAGCAGAGCACGTTTTTCCTCTTTTATCATAGCAACTGATGCTACACCATTAATGTGGAAGCAAGTTATTACAAAAAACCATAATAAAAATACCGCTCTCGTCACACCCATCTTTAGTTCCTTTGTCTACACAAGGTGATCATAAAATGAGTGCATCCACAAAGTCTTTATATATAGAGCAATATTATTGAATCTCCCTTCTACGCGTCAAAGTCGTTGGAGTGTGTAGGTCCAATGGCAAATGGACTAATCATATCGTGTAAGATTGCCTCAGTTGTTAATTAATAGTCTTAGTCAATATTAAAGTCTTTAGTCTTTGGATTTATTATAGTGAAAGTGGGCATGAAATTGCCAAACATGAGATGATGAACATCACAGCATAGTGGTCTGATGGAACTCTGAATTAAAGAACCCATTATTTTTAACTTTTAGGATTATATTTTGAAAGACAAATCAAATTATGGAAATATACTTTTTCTTACCACTAGTTGCTCTAAAACAGAGCATGTTTCTCCTCTGCTATCATGGAATTGGCAATATTATTGAAGAATGCCACTGATTTTTCTTACCACTAGTTGCTCTAAAACTGTCACAGTGCTTATTGTTGGAGTCGTCAACATAATTTTGGAGAATGCCACTGATTCATGCAACGTGATCACCAAATGAGTGTAGAGGTTGAGTCTTTACAGAAGCATAAATTTATTTTTCTTGAACACAAAATTATAACTTTTAAGTGACATATAAAGAAACGTGTTAACTAACTTTGACTATTAAAAATAAAAAAACAGAAAGTAAATGAAATAAAAGCTTGTTTGATTTTATGCTCAACTTTTATGTTTTTACAACTACTTTTTAGAATAAGTTTTGAATACCAAAAGTAAAAAAAAAAAAAATGTTAGAATCATTATTTCAAAAACCATACATAAAATGGTGAAGTGAAGGGTTAAAACTAGTTTGCTTTATTAACCTGACATAATTAACAAAAATATAATATTATGCGTCTCTTCCCTAATTTTGTAAAAGAAAAGGCAGAAAAATAAAAAAAAAAATGTTTTGATTTTTTTTTGCTTTAAGAACAAATTTTAATTTTGTTACGGAAAAGCTTAATAAAAATACCACTATGACACCCATCTTTTATTTAATTTCTTTCCACAAAGTGATGATCACAAAATGAGTGCAATCTCAGCGTCTTTACATAGAAAAATATTGAAATGACTAAGGGCAAAGGCTTATTTCTCTTTTGTATTGTTATGCGATCCCTATTTCTCTTTTGCAATGAAAGTTATGAGCACTTCATTATTCACTCTAGTTATTAACTGATAGGGCATTTATTAGTATTATGATCATTATATTTAAATTATTCACATCATAAATTGTAAAATGACTTTTAGATATTATTTATGACACTTTTGTTTTATTCAAAATATGTACATTTTTTTATCATAAAAATAAGGTTAAAGGTTAAAAACACTTATGAAAATATACCAAAACTTTACTTAACACCATGAACTTTTTTTGCAATCAAATTTACCAATCCAAGTTTAAAAAAGAGATTAATAATGTCAACGCTGTTAAAATTAACAAACATCCGTTTTTTTGGGTTGTGGGACCCATAGTTTTTTTAATAAAAATACCAAAATACCCTCAATTAAAACGGAAGAGAATTAAGAGTCACATGAACTTATATTTAAAGTTGACCAAACACCATATAATATATATAAAAGTATCAAAATACACCCAATCTCAAGAGTCTATTGTATTAGAGTGCGTTAGAGATTATTAATTATAATAAAAATTTTATAATTAAAATAACTAATATAAAAAAGTTTAAGCTTGAATTGGATTGCTCTTCAATGTTAAGTTATTTATACCCCAAATCTTTTTTTTTTGAGTAGTCATTATGGATATCTTTTGAAAATAAATTGCTTATATCCATGATACATGGAGCTGTGTGTTTATCCTCTAGTCTATGTTATCAAATTTAATAGTCAACTTGACATTTCTTTTATGTTTATGTTTAAATTCTTTGAGAAAATTTAAGGCTATTTTTAGTAGTTACAAAAATATTTAATTATTATGTATAATATTTATGCTATTAAAATATTTTCAGCCATTAATGAATAGAATAACTATAACAATAGGCTAGTTTTTACAACAAGCGAAAAAATTGGCTAATAAAAAATGTATTGAAAAAGATTAATAATCTTTTTTAATTATAAAGATTGATGATATAAAAATTTATTATACTTAATAATATCTAACACACTCTAATGTAATAGCCTTACAAAATTTGATGGTATTTTAGTACTTTTATTAAAAATCATATGGTGTTCGATGAAGTTCATGGGTATTTTTGACTCTTAACACTTTTTTGTTTTAATTAGGGGTATTTTGATACTTTCACTAAAAAAAAAATCACGGGTCCCATTGCTAAAAAAGGGACATTTGTTAATTTTGATAGCATTGGCACCATTGAGCTCTTTTTCAATTTGAATCAATCAATTTGAACCCAAAAAAAATTCATGATGTTGGGTGAAGTTTTAGTATATTTTCATATATATTTTTGACTTTTAACCCTAAAAAATATAGACACCATGGAAACCAGTTTTTCTCTTCACATAGATTTAATCTATTTAACAAACTGTTTTTTTTTAAAACTTCATGCGTATATAATATGTGAGGATAAATGACGGTAATAATTGTAATAGATAGTAGAGTTTTTCCCCCTTCTTTTTTGAAAAATCAAAGAAGAATAAAAAAATAATATCATTGTCAATGGTCTTCGTCAATATTAATTCTTATACGGTAAAATGGACAAGAGATTGCTAAACGTAAGATGAACCTCACAACGCACATAAAGGTCCTACGAAAATCCCAAAAAAACAAACTCATTATTAAAGACGTGTAAGATGGGCACAAATTAGAGTCAAAAGTCTTTGGAGAACATCCAAATTAAGGCAATGGACATAAACATAACGTGTGAGAAGGGCATAATAAAATACAAAACTAGTCTATTGGGTCCCACATAATTGGAATTGGAATACAATAAACTCTCGAATATGCTAAATAGATTCACATGAAGTGTATGACAATTACTACTTTCAGTCTTTAATATAAAATTCCGTTTGACTTTTATATTGGTCCTAAATATAAGACCCCAATCCATTTTGTCTCTCATATTTACTCAATTTTTTTTCTAGTCCTTCTAATAATTATAATTTTAGCTAACATACTTGATTAGTAAGGATATTTTAAGAAAGACAACACCTATTTATTACAAATAACTAACTTAACTTCTTTCCTTAATTTTCTCAAATTAGTCAACTGGCTCTTATAATTAGGACCGGAGGTAGTAATTAGAAATGCCTAAATTTTTTCTAATTAATTGTTTTGGAAAAAACTACCACCCTCCATGAACTTCCACCAAATGGGTCAAGCTTAGCCTTAACATAATGTCTATCTCTAGTGGCCTAAATGGTATCCGTAGCTTCAGGTTAATCAAACACAAAGTTTGAACATTTTTAAAATAATAGCATTGTGGTCTAGTGGCATATGAAAACTCTTTTCTAAAAGGAAGGTCACAGGTTTGATATCCCCTGTAATATAATCCTAGGCCTTTAGTACCTACTCAGCTGCCCTTTTCATTGGAAAAAAAACAAGTTTGAACATCTTTAAATATTTTTTTATGAAAGGTTATGGGTTGAAAGTTTAAAGATGCAAACTAAAATTATGCTAACTCCTGATTTTTTGTTTATAGTAATGCTTAAATTTGTATTAGTAGTTAGAGATTAGGGATTTTGATGTCCTGTTGTGGGTTCTGTGTGCAGTGCTCAAGTGTCCCCAACCAGAAAAGAAAAAAAAAGATGATGAATGTACTATATAACTAAAAGAATATAAAAATATCATAAAAATGCAGAAGGGAAACTCATGCCTGAAAACATCAACTTTTCATATCTAAAAAAAATTACTAAAAGATGAGTTACAGAGAATTTTTGGAACCTAATTATTAAAAGATTAATTTGTGTGTTCTTTTTCTCATATAAGAACAAATAAATAAGGACAAAGGACCATCAATTTCTTCTTAAGTAGGCACATATATGGAAAACAGGAGGGTAGTAATTTCTTTGTAAATCACGGTCACAAATTTTGTGACCAATAATTTATTGCATGATGTTGCTTGTCTCTTAGAATTCATGCAAAACTGCAAAAGATTCAAAAGTCTACAACTACTATTATTAGGGTCTGGTCTTCAAGACTATTCCAAACGCGTTTTTTTATGAGTAGATTTTACGAGTATGACAGTTTTTTAACTTAATTATGTGAAACTATATATAATTATTATTCAGTTTTTATTCCATAATTCGTCATTGTAAAGTAATAAAGTGATAGGTGGAACATTTTTTTACAAAAAAAATATTAAATAATACTAACAACCTAGTTAAGCATTAACACATTCTCTTAATTTGCATAAGAAGCAACCTAAAACAAAGGTTAAAAGGAAATAAAATCTAGCTATATGAAGAAAGTAATCTAAACTACAGTAAATGTTAGGAGGGATTGGAAGAGATAACTTCAATTATTATAGCCTCAATTGGATAAGTGATAATAAATTGAGAGAATCGCTATGAAGTTCCAAGTGAAAAATATAATTACTAGTACAGCATGCAGTAATAGCTTTCAGAGTAATAAATGACAACTACTCATTTGTTATAGGGACTAACTGATAATTATCTTCTTTTTTCTTCGGACCTTGTCATAATTCTCTCTAACAAATTCTCACAAAAATAATGACAAAAACGAATCAACAGACATCAATGAGAAAACTGCCGAGATGAATCAGTATGTAATAATGATGAACTTGGACGTATAAAAAAAATCATGACATATTAACTAATCAAGAAACCTTTTAATAATTAAATTATTTACGTGGGACTGCACCATAATTTTCCCAAAATATAACGTGTGGAATGGGCACAATTGAATACAAAGGTAGCCTATTTGATCTAGAGCTGTGAAGAGGCTAGCGATGC